TGGTAGGCTACTGTGTGAATAATAATAATAATAATAATAATAATAATAATAATAATAATAATAATAGAAGAAGAAGAAGAAGAAGATACTGTACTATTATTATTATTATATTATAATAGTACACTGTACTAGCTAAGCATTTGGTCTGATTTAGCATGCCATGTGTTTATGCCTATGTTTTTTTCTCTCAATACACTTAACTTCAGGGAAGTGGTTTAGATTTAGATTGGGGCAGCAACATGAAGGGAAAGGGTTAAATATTGCCTCCACTGTTTCAATTTAAAGTGGAGAGACATCCAGTTCGCTGTGGTTGTTGCGTGCCTTCAAGTTGTTTCCAATCTATGGTGAACCTGCCACGGAGTTTTCCTGGTGAGATTTGTTCTGAAGAGGTCATCCAGTGTATTTCATGGCTCTGCAGGGATTCAAACCCTGGTTTCAACACTCAAACCCTCTGTGCTTTTTGCCTTTAGGCAAATAAGGCTGGGCTGCCTCTCCTTATTGGGTCAATTCAAAATGTTTATTGTGTGACACATCTAATGTAAAGCTCAGTTTTCAGATAAGTTGGCTGAACTCACGTTTACCTGTTCTGTTCAGCAGTAGCAATCTAAAACAGCACTTCCGGCTGCGGATATTATCTGTAGGCTGATCATAACAACACTTCGATATCAATGCTTTCCTGCAATGCACTTTGAATTGCATCAAAGAATCTTCGGGGCCGGAATGAAGTGAATTCAGATGTAGTGTAAATGACTGCTTGCTACATAACTTTTAAATAGACAATAAAAACACCAAGTTAGTCAAAGATTTCATGTTTTTTAAATAAAACTATTGAATAAAATTGTATGCAGAATATAAATGAAATGAAACCTAGAAGAGAAAACTATATATATAAAAAATCCCCGTCCAAAAAATACAGTCAGACCTGCATATTTGCAGACATTTTCAGATTTGATTATCTGTATAATTGATTAATATGTTTTCTCTAGGAAGCTCTATGTCAGTGGTTCTCAACCTGGGACCCCCAATGTTTTTAGCCTACATCTCCCAGAAATCCCAGCCAGTTTATGAGCTGTTATGATTTCTGGGAGTTGAAGGCTAAAAACATCTGGGGACCCCAGGTTGAGAACCACTGCTCTATGTTATTCAGTGCAACCCTATGGTATACTTTCACCAGATGTCATGTTGGAGGACCTAGGGATTCCTAAAGTGAACACTTTTCTAAGCATTTGTACATCCTCCAGTAGGATTCTGTGATCAACCTCAGATGGAAGTTAATCATAGAGTTACACTGGAGGGGTTAGAGATTCCCAGAAAAGTATACTCTTACGTTTTGTTTTTTTGTTTTTTTAAACTAACAAACAAACAAACATGTTTTCTCCACTTTGAGAGCCCTACAAGGGTAACCCTAGTGAATGTGGAGAGTTGGCTCTATACCAGGCAAGGGCAAACTTCAGCCCTCCAGATGTTTTGGACTTCAACTCCCACAATTCCTAACAGCCTCAGGCCCCTTCCTATCCCTCCTCAGTGGCTGGGGGGGGGAGAAAGGGGCCTAAGGCTGTTGGGAATTGAAGTTCAAAACACCTGGAGGGCTGAAGTTTGCCCATGCCTGCTCTATATCCATCACTCACACTGAAACTACTTGCATTTATAACAAGCACTATACCTAACAAGATGGGGGAGGGGGAAAATAGATATTTTTCAACTAACTTTTACTACCAGTTATACTTTATCTATCGGTCCTTCCACACAGCTGAATAAAATCCCACATTTTCTGCTTTGAACTAGAATATATGGCAGTGTGGACTCATAACCCAGTTCAAAGCAGATATTGTGGGATTTTCTGCCTTGATATTCTGGGATATAGGGCTATGTAGAAGGGCCCTCTGCCTTTAATTCATACCACTTAACAAAACCCACAAACAATAAACCACCATCCTTCTGTTTTAAAAAAAAGTCCATGAGAGATTGCTATTATCTCAAAAGGTTTCATTGATGATTTTTATTACTCAGAGTAAGTAAAGTGTCCATTTAAGCTAAATTGCTCTCTCTCTCTTTCTGTCTATCACCAGCCCTCTTTAATTTACTTTTTAAACCTTGTAGTACACATGCACTTCAGGCAGAGCTGTCACGATTACCCAACTGTAATGATGTGTTTTCTAATCACACGGTTTCATCTGCACGCACTACAAGCTTACCCTGTTGTTTTCATTGCTACTGGGGTTTTTTTTTTTTTTACTAGTTGCCAATTTTGGTAGGTTATGGGATATTTTACTTACAACATTGTGGTGTGGTCTGTACAGGAAGAAGCATATGGGGAGATATCATGAGATGCCACACTGGGTTAGCCTGAGTCATAACCTCTCACAGTGGCCAAACTGTCTGGGGATTCTGCTGAGCATTGTGGCCTGGAAATATTTTTTTCAAGATTGGAGGCAAGTGCAGGATTTTAATTGCGAAAAGCATGGGGAAGTAAAGAGGTTGGGTTGCTGTGAGTTTTCCAGGCTATAGAGTTACAGAAGCATTCTCTCCAGACATTTCACCCATATCTATGGCAGGCATCCTCAGAGGTTGTGAGGTCTGTTGGAAACTAGGCAAGTGAGGTTTACATATCTGTAGAATATCCAGGGTGGGAGAAAAAAACCCTCTTGTCTGCTTGGTGCAAGTGTGAATGTTGCAATTGACCACCTTGATTAGCATTGAATGGCCTTGCAGCTTGAAAGCATGGCTGCTTTATTTATTATTTATTTATTTCGGGTACTTCTACCCCACCCTTCTCAACCCCCTAAGGGGGACTCAGGGCAGCTTCCAACCGGCATACGTTGATGCCTACAATTCACACAACAAAATACATAATAACAGTAATTATAACAATTAAAACATTACATTAATACAATAAAAATACAATAAAAAGCCAGCCTGGTGGCCATCATTTTGCCAAGTCCGTAATTAATAAATTCGTTCCGCTTATCATAGTCCGTTTCCAAAGCTTTAGTCGTCATTGTCCATTGTCAGTCTGCCAGATTACCCAAAGGCCTGGTCCCATATCCATGTTTTTAATTTCCTTCTAAAAGAGAGGAGGGATGATGATGATCCAATTTCCCCGGAGAGTGAATTCCACAAGCGAGGGGCCACCACCGAGAAGGCCCTGTCCCTCGTCCACATCAATCTTGTTTGTGACAAGGGCGGGGCCGAGGGCAGGGCCCCTCCAGAAGATCTTAAATTCCTAGGCTGGACGTAGAAGGAGATACTTTCTGCCTGGGAGATCCTTTGTTAGTTGGTGTTAGCTGGCTCTGATCGATTCTTGTCTGACATTCTCTTGCTTTTTGGGCATTGCTCTTTATTTACTGACCTGATTCTAGAGTTTTTTAGTAGCCAGATTTCATTTTCATGGTTTCCTCCTTTCTGTTGAAATTGTCCACATGCTTGTGGACTTCAATGGCTTCAACAACACATTTCCTGGTCCCATTCATTCCCACAACTCCATAAGTCTCAATGGACCCTGCCCCCTCCTGGTCCTGACCTGCCATTGCAGCTGTATCGCAATGGTTCAGTGGCTTCTAGAATTAATGCATGGTGCTCCTATCTATCTACCTGGATTTTCCCATTTTCAATGGTCCATCCTCTGTTTGGATATCAGCCAGCATGCCAACGACTTAATCATAGAATCATAGAGTTGGAAGAGATCTGGTGGGCTATCCAGTTCAACCCCCTGCCAAGAAGCAGGAAAATCACATTCAAATCACCCCCGGCAGATGGCCATCCACCCTCAGTTTAAAAACCCCCAAAGAAGGAGCCTCCACCACACTTCAGGGCAGAGAGTTCCACTGCTGAACAGCTCTCACAGTCAGGAAGTTCTTCTTCATATTCAGGTGGAATCTCTTTCCCTGTCATTTGAGACCATTGTTCCGCATCCTAGTCTCCAGGGCAGCAGAAAACAAGCTTGCTTCCTCCTCCCTTTGATTTCCCCTTACATTACCCTCACTATGTCTCCTCTCAGCCTTCTCTTCTGCAGGCTAAACATGCCCAGTTTTTTAGGCCGCTCCTCATGGGGCTTGTTCTCCAGACCCTTTATCATTTTAGTAGCCCTCCTCTGGACACATTCCAGCTTGTCAATATCTGTCTTCAATTCCCCCCAAAAAAAAAAAAGCCAATGGGATTTTGGCCTGAATCAATATAGTGTCTAGATCCAGGGAAGTCATGCTACCCCTCTATTCTGCCTTGGTTAGACCACATCTGGAATACTGTGCACCACAATGAAAGGGAGATGTTGACAAGATGGAATGTGTCCAGAGGAGGGCAACTAAAATGATCAAAGGGTTCTGGAGAACAAGCCCTATGAGGAGCGGCTTAAAGAGCTGGGCATGTTTAGCCTGAAGAAGAGAAGGCTGAGAGGAGACATGATAACCATGCATGTATAAATGTGTGAGGGGATATCATAGGGAAGAGGGAGCAAGCTTGTTTTCTGCTGCCCTGGAGACTAGGATGCAGAACAATGGCTTCAAATTACAGAAAAGGAGATTCCACTTGAACATTAGGAAGAACTTCCTTACTGTGAGCTGTTCAGCAGTGGAACTCTCTGCCCCGGAGTGTGGTGGAGGATCCTTCTTTGGAGGCTTTGAAACAGAGGCTGGATGGCCATCAGTCGGGGGTGCTTTGAATGCGATTTCCCTGCTTCTTGGCAAGGAGTTGGACTGGATGGCCCATGAGATCTCTTCCAACTCTGTGATTCTATGGGTGTTTTTCACGAGGAGAATTCTCAGACCAAAGAGCTGTGTCAGGGGGTGAGACACTTCTGAGTGAAAGGGAAGGCGGACCTGGCAACCCGCTCATCCCCGGAGGGCCACCGCACCCCCGCCCCGGGCCACCCCGCCCTCCTCTCCTCCTCGCCTCTCCCCTCCCCTTTGCTCCCGTCTAATTGGCCCCCGAGGAAAGTCCAGCGCGCTCATCCTCTCCCTATATATACCTCCTTCCCCGCCGTCGATGGGAGCAGAAGCCGAGCAAGGTGGCTTCTTCGCTCCTCTCCTTTCCTCTTCCTCTCTTGCCTCCTGGTGTAAGAGGTAATCCCCTATCCCAACGCTAACCTTTCCCCTTCCTGCCTTCAGGTCTGCTTGGAGAGGCATCTTTCTTGGATTTCTTTCGGGCAACCGCTCTCTCAGGTGGGATCCTCCACTACGAGAAAGATAAGGAGAGAACAGAAAGAGATAGCGAGGAACCCCGGTGCTACAACTCGCCTGCCATGAGCTGCCCCTTGAAGCGCGTGCCCTTCATGGGCTGCTTTCGTCCCACCCGCCGCCCGCCTCTCCAGCAGCACCAGCAACAGCAGCAGCAGCAGCTCCTTCCCTCCGCCTCCTCCTCTTCTTCCTCGGCTTGCGCCCTGGAGCCCAAAGCGGCCCCACTGCCGGGCCCGGTGTGCCCTGGTCCGCCCTGCTCCCCCTCGGCGCCGCCCCACGCCCTGGCCGCCCTGCCCGGACCCACCAAGTGGCCGCTCATGGGCAGCCTCCTCGACATCCTCTGGAAAGGGGGGCTCAAGAGGCAGCACGAGACCCTGGTAAGTCGCAACTGGGAAAAGGGAAACAGAGAGCCCGGTGGGTCGCAGCTCCCAGATCCCTTGTAGCCAGAGTTCTGGGAGCTGCGATCCAAAGCAAAGCGCTCCTCTTCCTTTCCCCAGCTCTCCAAGGGGGCGTTTACACACTGGGAAGAATGCAGGGTAGGGAACTCTCACGTGCGTGTCTACACCTGCAGGAGGCAGAGACCGGATTTTAAATGGATTGTTTTCCCTAGTGTGATGAAATTAATTTTACCCTTGAGTCTGTCTGTCTGTCTGTCTGTCTATCTATCTATCTATCTATCTATCTATCTATCTATCTATCTATCTATCTATCTATCTATCTATCTATCTATCTATCTATCTATCTATCTATCTATCTATCTATATCTAGAGCTCTGTGATTCCATTTAGTTCCCACTTTGCAAGAGGTTTGGCTATTCAGAGTGATGGAGTCCCTGAGTTTTTGGCTACTGGTTCCTACTAAGTTATCTGAAAAGAAAATCAAAGTGTAGTCAATGGACATAACCAGGGTGGTAATCTGGCACATTAGGGGGGGGGGGGGAATAGCAGTTTCCCCTATAAGACGGCCGGAGAAATACTAAATGAGATACGATAACTTTTCATAGAATCAAAGAGTTGGAAGAGACCTCATGGGCCATCCAGTCCACCCCCTGCCAAGAAGCAGGAATATTGCATTCAAATCACCCCCGACAGATGGCCATCCAGCCTCTGTTTAAAAGCTTCCAAAGAAGGAGCCTCCACCACACTCCGGGGCAGAAAGTTCCACTGCTGAACGGCTCTCACAGTCAGGAAGTTCTTCCTCATGTTCAGATGGAATCTCCTTTCTTGTAGTTTGAAGCCATTGTTCCGCGTCCTAGTCTCCAAGGAAGCAGAAACAAGCTTGCTCCCTCCTCCCTGTCGCCCTCCTCTGGACACATTCCAGCTTGTCAATATCTCTCTTGAATTGTGGTGCCCAGAATTGGACACAATATTCCTGGTGTGGTCTAACCAAAGCGGAATAGAGGGGTAGCATTACTTCCCTAGATCTAGATACTATGCTATTGATTTTGGTCCCCTTTCGTACTCTGTAACTTGTTTGTTTGGATCTTGCCCTTTAGAATACATTCTATCCAATGTATTTATACTTTGTTTGCTTGGGATCATTTCCACACATCTGTGGAGATGCTGAATTGCAAGTGTATATAGCAGGCATAGGCAAACTTCGGCCCTCCACTGTTTTGAACTTCAACTTCTACAATTCCTAACAGCCCGGTAGGAATTGTGGGAGTTGAAGTTCAAAACACCTGGAGGGCCAAAGTTTGCCCATGCCTGCTATATAGACTAGGTGGTATTTTAACATTCCTTTACAAAGCAAGGGCAAACAAATCCACTTGAACAGGCAAAGCAACTCTGATTCTGACCAAAAGCAAAATTCTGGCAATGCAGGACTATAGGTGTTATTCCTTAACCTCCTTTTTCTTCTCTCTTATGCTGCAGGCAGATTACCATCGCAAGTTTGGCAAGATCTTCCGCATGAAGCTAGGTGCTTTCGACTCAGTACACATTGGTGCCCCCTGCTTGCTTGAGGCTCTTTACAGGAAAGAGAGTGCCTACCCACAGCGGCTAGAGATCAAGCCCTGGAAAGCTTACCGGGATTACCGTAAAGAGGGCTACGGACTCCTTATTTTGTGAGTAAAGAGAGGTGCAAGGGCATAGCAGGTGATGGGGCTTTTGAACATTGGAAGGAAGGGTGAACCATTACTTCTTTGTGCTAATATTTAGCAGCACCCCCAAACTATCTCTGTCTAGGCTGACCTGCTATCACACTGTAGGCTTAGGAAAGTTATTTCTGGACTATAGCTCTCAGAATCTATCCCAATGGCTGGAGATTCTGGGACCCATAGTTCACAACATAACTTTTTCAGGTGGTGCTAAGACTGAATATCCTAGACTTGTAAAGCCAATAGGAGGAGCAACTTCACCCAGACTAAATTAAATGCTCTTTTTGCAGTTACAGATTGTTTCTTGTGCTATTTGTGCCATATGTGAATGTTGTTAAATCAGGGTTTGATCCTGGAAGAGAAATCATATATTCCTTCTGATCAAGGGAGGTTTTACATTCACACTCTGAGCAAAAACCTCTTTAGGCAGAAAATCATTTAAAACATATTGGGGGTACAAGGCTAAGTATCTTTGCCACCAAACTTTATTATGGTGGGAATCTAAAGGTTCCACTCCCCCCCCCCCCCCCCCCAAATTAATTAATAGGGATTTACAAATAAGACTACAGCAAAAACACTGGCACTGTGGAGTAGATTTTTGATTCTTTTTGTCAGTTCCATTTTCTGGATTTTAATTTAACTACACACAGTGATGCTTGGAAGGTGCCTGTTGTGTTTTTTGTTTGTTTTTTTGCATCACCAAACCTACTTTGTACACTACTTTTAGTAAACTGCAAAAAAACTGTATTTAGCACAGTGGTTTCCAACCTTTTTTTGACCAGGGACCACTTCGACCAGGGACCACTTTCCAACGTTAGTACCAAAAGGGTTACGAATCAGTTTTTGGTCAACTTTAGATTCAGTTTGGTTACTTGGGGTGATAATTGCTGATTCAGAGATTTGCATTGGATAGACCACATCCGCTCTAGTTTCTGATACAGAACATATGCTATCCAGTAATTGCCATCTGCTCACCCACAGAAAACCATATTCAATAATCTAGAGCTGATGTGGTTTATGCAATGCAATTTTCTGAGTCAGCACCCCAAATAACCCCAGGAACAAAGGCACCAAAGCACCCCCACTTCCAGGTGCCACATCGAATGGCTCCACTCAGGGGGGAGGAAGGAGGAGAAGAAGCAGCAGTCAGGAGGCTTGTTGTCACACCTTTTGTGGGTAGTCAGCCTCTCCCCTCCCGACATTCCCATTACCTTGGCACTATGAGAGGGTTTCACGAGACCAGTCACTCTCATTGCAACTATGTAGTAACTGTGAAACATATTTTAGTCCTTGAGGACCACAGATTGGGGACCACTGCTTTAGCCTAAGAACACTCATTGTATTTCCAGAGATTTTTAAAATATCCTAATGTCTTTTCCCCCATCCTGTTTCAATTTAATCTGAAAAAAAATCAAGATTTGCAATTTCTCTGGAACAGATATACAGTATATGTATTTACAATTGTTTAACGCCATAAAGGTTCTCCTTTAATCCTTTCCACCTTTATTTCACACAGGGAAGGAAAAGACTGGCAGAGAGTAAGAAGTGCATTTCAGAAGAAATTAATGAAGCCCACAGAAATTGTCAAGCTTGATACCAAAATTAACGAGGTACTGTATAAGACCTTATAGTTAAAGTTGTCTAAATCATTGGGTAGTGGTTTGGACCAGAGTTGGAATCTCAGCTTTGCCATGAATCCCAGGGCAACCTTAGGCAAACTACAATTTCTCAGCCGCTGTTGAAGGCAATGGCAAACCTCTTTGGAACAAATCTTGCCAAGCAAACCCCTAGACAAGTTCACTTTGGGGTCACCATATGTCAGAAATGACTAGAAGGCACACAACAACAACAGCTAAAACTTTAAAGTATCACAAAATTTTATAATAGTCTGAGAGAGACATGAATGCTTTGCCAAAGTAGAATATAGACCACTTCAAAGAGTTATGAGTTGAGCAATGATCCCTCGAGTCTCTAGAATGGCAACATTCAGAAAACCTAGACAGCATAATCAATGATGAGGAAATAAAGAGGTTGCAATCTAAGAACTTTTGGCTAGTTGCATAATTTCCTCCTCTGTGTTCAGGGCTCCTTGTAATTAAAAGTTTTGGGCCTAAGAGAAAACTATCATTCTACAATTTTCCATTTTGTTTGATTTTTATTAAAAGTAGCTTAAATGGGGACTGGCATGGATGGGAATCCTATTGGTTAATCCCAGCAATTGAATCAATTGCTGAATGGTGAGTTGTCTTATAGATAATCCAGTTAATTAAAGTGCCCTGTGCTAGTTAGAGCTAACAATAAGATGTTGACTATTGTGTGTGTGTGAAGGGGTATTGACTCCTAGTTGAAATTGAAATTGAAATTACCTTCCTCTGCTGTTCAGACCAGAATAAATTGTTGTTGTCGTTGTCGTTGTTGTTGTTGTTATTATTATTATTATTATTATTATTATTATAAAGATTGAAGAGAGAGGGAGCCAGGGAACAGTTCCACCTTGTTTCCTGTGCTATGCTAATAATATAATATAATATAATATACATAAAATATTTATAATTTTATAATATAATACAATATAATACTAATACTAATAATATGATATAATTATATATTTATATTACATGTAATATTACTAATAATATTACAATATAATGGTATAGTACAATACAGTAATATATAATATTGATATTGTACTATACTAATAAAACAATGTATTGTGTGTGTGTATATATATATGTGTGTGTGTATGTGTGTGATATATATATATATATATATATATATATATATATATATATATATATATATATATATAGTAAGCCGCTCTGAGTCCCCTTCGGGGTGAGAAGGGCGGCATATAAATGTCGTAAATAAATAAATAAATAATTCCTCACACCCCCCCCCCCTTACAGGTGCTGTCCTTCTGGACCTGGACCAGAAGACCAGATGCCAGACACTTCCCCCATAGGATGGGGGGGGGGGGGTGGGGGGGTATCCCACCACCATTTCCCAGAAGGAACTTGGGGTGGCTTACAGACAGCACAAAGTGCCTAGAAACAAAACATAGGAGTGAGCACAATATAAAATACAATACAATACAATAAAACACATGATCATATAAAAACATCAACTCAGGCTCAATCAAACTGCAATCCTCTAACCATGGTGGTAAATTGCTGCAAACATGGCCAAGCTGTAAACATTAGGAATAAAATAAGTACCAGCTGCAGTAATGGAGAGAGCGTATGGGATAAAGTGCAGGATGTGCGACTACTATGCAGGACAACTAGGGATTAAATATTCTCAAAGGCATGATTGAAGAGCTTTGTCTTCAGAAGATTTATAGGTGCCAAAGGCAGCTTTTTGCATAGTGACATCTCATTTCTTCCTAAATGTATTATAGGTGGAGCTAGTGAGTTAGCTATAAAAGGGAAAATCAGAATGATATGAGAATCTTTGACTGGCAGCCAAACCATTAACGCTAACAAATTGGATTTTTGTGTAAATCCTTGTTGTTCATTCGTTCAGTCGTCTCCGACTCTTCGTGACCTCATGGACCAGCCCACGCCAGAGCTCCCTGTCGGCCTTCACCACCCCCAGCTCCTTCAAGGTCAGTCCAGTCACTTCAAGGATGCCATCCATCCATCTTGCCCTTGGTCGGCCCCTCTTCCTTTTTGCCTTCCACTTTCCCCAGCATAATTGTCTTCTCTAGGCTTTCCTGTCTCCTCATGATGTGGCCAAAGTACTTCAACTTTGTCTCTAGTATCTTTCCCTCCAGTGAGCAGTCGGGCGTTATTTCCTGGAGGATGGACTGGTTGGATCTTCTCGCAGTCCAAGGCACTCTCAGAACTTTCCTCCAACACCACAGCTCAAAAGCATCGATCTTCCTTCGCTCAGCCTTCCCTAAGGTCCAGCTCTCACATTCGTTACTATGGGGAATACCATTTCTTTAACTATGTGGATCTTCATTGCCAGTGTGATGTCTCTACTCTTCACTATTTTATTGAGATTGGTCATTGCTCTCCTCCCAAGAATTAAATATCTCATTTCCTGGTTGCTGTCTGCATCTGCAGTAATCGTTGCACCTAGAAATATGTCTGTCACGGCCTCCATGTTTTCTCCTCCTATTTGCCAGTTATCAATCAGTCTTGTTGCCATAATCTTGGTTTTTTTGACGTTTAGCTGCAACCCGGCTTTTGCGCTTTCTTCTTTCACCTTGATTAAAAGGCTCCTCAGCTCCTCCTCGCTTTCGGCCATCAGAGTGGTGTCATCTGCATATCTGAGGTTGTTAATGTTTCTTCCAGCAATTTTCACCCCAGCCTTGCATTCATCAATCCCCGCACATCGCATGATGTGTTCTGCATACAAGTTAAAGGTTGGGTGAGAGTATGCAGCCTTGCCGTACGCCTTTCCCAATCTTGAACCAGTCTGTTGTTCCGTGGTCAGTTCTTACTGTTGCTACTTGGTCATTGTACAGACTCCTCAGGAGAGAGACAAGGTGGCTTGGGATGCCCATCCCACTAAGAACTTGCCACAATTTATTATGATCCACACAGTCAAAGGCTTTAGAATAGTCAATGAAGCAGAAGTAGATGTTTTTCTGAAACTCCCTGCCTTTCTCCATTATCCAGCGGATATTGGCAATTTGGTCTCTCATTCCTCTACCTTTTCTAAACCCAGCTTGAACATCTGGCAACTCTCGCTCCATGTATTGCTGGAGTCTTCCTTGCAGGATCTTGAGCATTCCCTTACTGGCATGAGAAATAAGGGCCACTGTACGGAAGTTTGAGCAGTCTTTCGCATTTCCCTTTTTTTGGTATGGGGATATAAGTTGATTTTTCCAGTCTGATGGCCATTCTTGTGTTTTCCATATTTCCTGGCATAATGGCATGCATCACCTTGACAGCATCATCTTTTAAGATTTTAAACAGTTCAGCTGGGATCCCGTCGTCTCCTGCTGCCTTGTTGTTAGCAATGCTTCTTAAGGCCCATTCAACCTCACTCCTCAGGATGTCTGGTTCTAATTCATTCACCACACCGTCAAAACTATCCTCAATATTATTATCCTTCCTATACAGATCTTCTGTATAGTCTCACCACCTTTTCTTGATCTCTTCAGCTTCTGTTAGATCCCTACCATCTTTGTTTCTTATCATGCCAATTTTTGCCTGAAATTTACCTCCTATGTTTCTAATTTTCTGGAAGAGGTCTCTTGTCCTTCCTATTCTGTTGTCTTCTTCAACTTCCATGCCTTGCTTATTTAAAAATAGTTCCTTATCTCTTCTGGCTAACCTCTGGAATTGCGCATTTAACTGGGCATATCTCCCCTTATCCCTGTTTCCTTTTGCTTTCCTCCTTTCTTGGGCTTCTTCCAGTGTCTCAGCAGACAACCATTTTGCCTTCTTGGTTTTCTTTTTCTTTGGGACGTACTTTGTTGCCGCCTCCTGAACAATGTCTCGGACTTCTGTCCATAGTTCTTCTGGGACTCTGTTTACTAAATCTAGTCCTTCAAATCTGTTCTTCACTTCCATTGTAAATCCTAGCCATTATATATTTTAAGGGTTAGAGTTAGGGCACATTAAAGTGAACATTGATTTTGTCAATTTCTTTTCTCTACGTGGCCAAACAAGTACTTATAGGAAGTCCACAAGCAGAACATGAATGCAGTAAGATTCTCTGGTCCATAACAATAGATGGACATCATAGAACCCTATTTCCCATGCATTTGTGTAATCTCATTCTAGAGGCATGCAAGTTAACAGCCAAAAACTATGTTGTGGTAGCAGATAGCTACATACTCTGGGGTGACATTAAAGTCTGACCTTTCCTGAATCTACAGTGTTTTATTCTGAGATAGGAAATTTTTTACACAATATTGTGAATGTCAAATTTGTGCTAAAAAACTGTGATATGCTTTTATTTATTTATTTACTACATTTATATACCACCCCTCCCAGCCCAAGGGCAACTCGGAGCGGTTAACAATAGGCAACAATTCAATACCAGAACAGTTACAACAAAATAAAACAATCATTAATACTTTAAAATGCTAACAGAACTATACAAACATAAAAATCATACACAGCATTTAAAACATTATCGAAGTGTCTTCTTCTCAAATCATTGTCCAGTTGCATCGTCAGTTGTCCATAATATATATCTGTGCCATATTTGGGAAGGCCTGTTCAAAATGCCAGGTTTTCACCATTCTTCAGAAGTACAGGAAGGAGGGGGCTGATCTTATCTTTCTAGGCAGGGCGTTCCACAGTTGAGGGGCCACCACTGAGAAGGCTCTGTCTCTCATCCCCACCAGACACATCTGTGAGGAAGGCAGGAGTGAGAGCAGGGCCTCCCCAGAAGATCTTAGCATTCTAGATGGATCGTAAGGAGAGATACATTCAGATAGATAAGTTGGACCGAAACCGTTTAGGGCTTTGTAGGCTAAAGCCAGCACTTTGAATTGTGCCCGGAAGCAGATTGGCAGCCAGTGGAGCTGGCGCAACAAAGGAGTTGTATGCTCCCTGAATGCCGCTCCTGTTAGCTACCTGGCTGCCGCCCATTGGACCATTTGAAGCTTCCGAGCAGTCTTCAAAGGCAACCCCACGTAGAGAGCGTTGCAGTAATCTACATGGGATGTAACCAGAGCATGGACTACTGTGGCCAAGTCAGACTTTCTATTTCATTTCCCAAGGATTGTAGTCCTGTGTTATAGTACATATAACAGGATATCTCTGTATCTATTTATGTGAGCAGTGCACATTTATTTTATTTTATTTTATTTTTACTAATATTTGATATCAATCCCTTTTGCAGGTCCTTGTAGATTTCATGCAACAAATTGACATCCTTTGTAATGAGAATGGACAAATAGAAGATTTGTATTCTGAACTTAACAAATGGTCATTTGAAAGTAAGTTCTGCTCATAAGTCATGACTTGGTGCGATTTTGTCTTTGCTTCCCACTGCAAGCAGAGCTTATTGAGGCAATGTGGCTGGTGGATGCAATCCTGCCTCATCTTCATGTGTTTGAATTTCTCCTGGGGTACATTACACCACAAAGAGGCAGGAGGTGAGAAAATCCAAGGGGTTCACCATGCTTTGGAATTATGTATGAGACAAAACTGTTATGTAAGACAAAGTAAAGCAACTGCCTCTTGCATCAGATACTTGGAGAGGACAGTCCTGTAACCATGTATTGTCAGAGGCTTTCATGGCTGGAATCACTGGGTTGTTGTAGGTTTTTTGGGCTGTATGGCCATGTTCTAGAATCATTCTCTCCTGACATTTTGTCTGTATTTGAAACATTCACACCAACCTCCAATAGACTAGAGTTCTTTCTCCCACTCTGAACATTCCACAGATATATAAACACAATTTTCCTAGTTTCCACAGACCTCACAGCCTCTGAGGATGCCTGCCATAGATGTAGGCAAAATGTCAGGAGAGAATGCTTCTGGAACATGGCTATATAGCCCAAAAAACCTACAACAACCCAGTCCTGTAACCATTTTTCCTGTACTCCTTTCTTCTCTATTACTAGATGTCAAAGCTGTGTATGGCACTTGGCCTGTCCTGTTCTCAGAGGCAGTGTAGAGCGCTGTTGAACTCCCGGCAATGAAGCAGAAACTCACTTCTTTAATTAGAATGGGCGGCCGGGGGATGCACTATCCTGTCCTTTGCCTTAGATAGAATATATCTTAGGCCAGGACTGCCATTGTGCCAAGTATGGCTTACCTTTTAGCTAGCCGGGCATGAAAAAACAACCTCTGTCATATACATGTCGCTGGCTTTACTCTTATTCTCACTTGTCACTCTTGGCCCTTCATTTGCATCTCCTCCCTTGGTAAGGTATAAGGATATACATTTATTGGAACAAGGATTGAAGGAGGAGTGAAGAGATTTTTTTAAATTGCTGTTATGAAGGCACCAGAATGATTCTCTTTTTTATTATAGGTATTTGTCTGGTGCTATATGGGAAAAGATTTGGACTCTTGCAACAAGATGTAGGAGATGAAGGCTTAAATTTCATCAAGGCTGTGAAAACGGTATGAATGAATATTTAATTCTGTGATCATATTTGCCATTTGATCTTGTAGAATAAGATAAGGAGTTGTCTTGTCTTGAATCAGGCCAGCATTATCCCTAACTATATTTTTTCCTATACTGACTCTATAGTAGCTTTATAGGGTTTCAAGATGAGAGACTTTCTCAATCCTACTAATGATTTTGCCTGACAAGTGATCTGCCACTGAGCTATTTAGAAACAATGATCTGGATAATGGGCACCATTCCTTCGTTTGTGTATATATTGTATGAAACAAACGTACCTTTCATGGGAATGCTGTAAAAACATGCCCATTTGATAGAATTGAGTGTTGTAAACACATGTCCATTGGTCAACTGGAGTATAATAGTTAGGCATTGTTTGGATCATTGATTTTGCCATTACCGGATGTCAAGCGTACAATAAAATCCTTGTGTCCACAAGGATTGTGTTTAAAAACCAAAATGTTTTTAAACACATCAAGGATATGTCCTTATCCTTTGCCAAACTGGTGGAATTGATTAGAATTATTACGCAAAACTCCTGATTGGACTGTAGTTATGTAAAACCACAGTATGCTGGAAGGGCAATGACTTACTGTACTTTCAGTCCTGACATATGTGTTGGAGGATTGATTCCTCCTAGCAAATTCCTAGAGAGACCATAAGTTAAGTAACAGATATAGAGGTTCCATTGTTATGGGTGCCTTACTGTAGCGCATTCCACTGATTATGTGTTTAGGTAGAATAACTTTCCTCCCTCTTATTTTAACAGAGGAAGTTTCAGCTTCCTTCTGTATTCTGGGTGTGCATTCACTGTTGATATTGACTTAGTAAACTGAAGATTTACCTACGCTTTATGGGAATAGTGACGACTTGATCCTGACCTACTGAATTATGTGTTTGTATCTATTCTTTTATTCTGTTGATTTGTTATATTGTTTTATTATCCATAGTGAGATCTGTAGATAGAATTGAATATAAATATTTTAATAGGCAAATAAAAAATAAGGAATAGTTTTCTGTTACTGTGAAAATGTTTGATTTCTTCTATGCATCATGTTTGATTTTAATAATGGAGTTAATTTTTCCAATATCAATTACAGATGATGAGTACTTTTGGGAAAATGATGGTCACTCCTGTTGAGCTCCATAAAAGCCTGAATACTAAAGTCTGGCAGGCTCATACAAAGGCATGGGACAATATCTTTAAGACAGGTAACCGGACACATCTGATGTAGTAACTATCTCAAGAGTGACAAGATATGTATTGTTTGCATTTGACAATTGCACAGGATGGTTTTCTTTGGCCTCACACCCATCCTGTGCAATAGGCTAAAATATACCAACTTGCTCAAATGACCAACTAGTGACCTTAATAATTCAATGGGATTTCAACCTGGCCTTTCTAGATCTAACATTTACCCCCTAGACCTACTTTTCACAAATGGAACAGTAAATCAATTTCTAGACCGTTGAACTTCAAACTAGACTGTGCTGGCCACATATATTTGAATCTTTCATACAGAGAGAAAAACAACCACACAGTTGTGTACATAAAAAGTAGCAAATCAGAAAAAGTTAAGTTTAGTCCATTCTCTGTGACATATGATTTTCTATGACCTGATTATTTTATTTATGGAATTACATACAATTTGGAAAGGCTTAAGTCCCTTTAATGAACTAGATCATGTCTGATTTTTGAATCTAAGCAAAGCCAGGCTTGCTTTAGTATCTGGATGGGAGATTGCCAACAAATATCAGGTGCTCTAAGTACATTTCAAAGGAAGGAGCTTGCAAAACTACTTCTGGTTATTCTTTGCCTAAGAAAACCCTATGAAATTCATGGTGTTTTTGGTTGCTTATCACTTTCTTCTTTTCCTTCCTTAGTCAAAAGTTCTATTGACATCAGATTGAAGAAGTACTCGGCCAACCCCTCTGAAGATTTCCTCTGTGACATTTACTTTGGGAGTCAGCTTTCCAAAAAGGAGCTGTATGCCGCTATCACAGAGCTCCAGATTGCTGGCGTTGAAACGGTAAATATGAAGTCCTTTCAACCCTTTGTATTCAGAGAGAGTATTTCTCTGGCCAACAACACACTATCCACAATTTTTGTCTTTCTCTTTGTATTGATTCCAAATCTGTTTTATTGATCATTGCCAATGAATATAGATTATTTATTTATTGCATTTACATACTGCTTTTCTCACCCCTGGGGGGCATCAAATAAATCAAATAAATGGCAAAGATTCAGTGCCTCACATATAATAAAACAATATATCACACATCTACAACAATACCATATAACTATAAATTAAATCATATAGAACTAGAAACCATTGACATAATCGTAAAACATTTTGATATTGCACTAATCCCGAGGTTGTCATCCATCTGCTACATTATTGTTGTCACTCACCGAATGCTTGTTTACATAACCAAGTTTTTACTTGTTAGCAGATTCCAACCTTTCTACAAAACTGCTCTGCACACTGCATTTGGAGAATATAATCTTCTTCTCAATATATATGTCAATTTGTATTTGGGTGACAAAAGAGACATTGGTGCTCCAAATGTTTTTAAGCACATTAAGGACATGTCCTTATCCTTTACCAAACTGGTGGAATTGATTAGAATTATTACGCAAAACATCTCGTGAGCCAAAGGTTACCCCAGGCCAGATTAATTTGGAATGTAGTGCTGCTTCTCATTACTTAGAAGAATCCTGATCATGTTTTTCCTCATTGGCAGCTTCCATCAAACAATGCAGGCAAAGGGTAGGAAACTAACATGGATGCTGATACTCCCCCCCCCCCACACACACACATTTCCACCCCCACCCCCACCCCCCAAAGCATCCAAATTTGCATCCAAGGCAGCTGGCATGAAGGCATCTTAGAGAGCATCTATACTGTAAAATGAATGTAGTTTGACTGCATGTGGCTCAGTACTATTGAATCCTGGAATTTGTAGTTTGATGAGGCACCAGCACTTTCTAGCAAAGACAGCTTTGCAAAATGATGACTTCCATGATTCCATAGCATTGAACCACAACAGTTAAATAGTGTCAAACTGTATTTATTGTATAGTGTAGATGCACCCTAAGTATTGGTTGAGGGTTCTATGGGAAAATGCTACAGTATTGCTACAGGCTATCCAGCAGTGAGAGCTGGTGTGGTATGGTGGTTTGAGTGTTGGGTCATGACTCTGGAGACCAGGGTTTGAATCTCCACTCATCAATGGAAAACAGCTAGATAACCTTGGGCAAGTCATATTCTCTCAGCCTCAGAAGAAGGCAAAGACAAACCTCCTTTGAAGAAATCCTGTCAAGAAAACCCCATTTTAGTTTCTACACTGTCATACAAAATCCATCTTATCTGCTTTGAACTGGATTATATGGCAGCGTAGACTCATACAAACCAGTTCAAAGTGATAATGTGGATTATTTGCCTTGATAATCTGGATTATATGACAGTCTAGAAGGGGGCGTAGTCATAGGTCAATAACAAACCCTGTAATGAGGCATTTGGCAGAGCAGATATCCACTGCAATATTCCCTGTCACCAAGAAGAACCCCAAAACTATATCCAAAACGTAGATATTTTGATCCAGAATTAAAAAGCCAATTTAAGGAGTTCCCATTTGGAGATGGATGGCTTTATATAAAACTAAGGGGTCATAATTGCATATTTAAGACCAAACCACTCCTGAATACCTTGCCTTACAATAGGAATATGAGGTTGGGAAAGCCCATTCCCTTCCCACATTCCACTCTCCGGGGATGAAAGTTTCCATTACCTGAAGCCAACTTGTACAAGTTGCCTTCCAACACATCTGGAGGACCCCAGCTTGAAGACAGCTGGCTTTCTGCATCTGTTGGGTCTCCTGTTGGCACATTTGTAAAATAACAACTTTTTATCCCAGTGCTGAAACTTGGTTGCTGCCAAGCATCTTCTGTTCTTCTGTGATTCATCATGCATTCCTAGGCTAAGGCGAAGCTTTGTTTCATAATCCATCACAGGCAGCTATGAATATATATCATAGACTATTTTCCTTTTTTGAAACACTTTTGGCTCCTTTGTCAGATTAATATAGTGAGTGAGCCCAGAGTGATCACAATAATTTCCTGCTACTGTTCTAGACTGCCAACAGTTTGCTTTGGGCCCTTTACAACATCTCATGCAATCCAGACGTCCAGGCAAAACTGCTTGAAGAAATACAGAGTGTCGTCTCAGATGGTGAGGATCCAAATGCTGAACATCTAAAAAAAATGCCCTACTTAAAGGCATGCCTGAAGGAATCTATGAGGTAAGATTGCATCACATGTTGGAGCATAAGTAGTTTATAACAGGCTATAAGTTTTTTCAGATAGATTTTGATTATTCAAAAGAAGTTTTAATTCTGAAGAGTGACATAAGTGTAAGGTGGTTCAGTCCATCTCTTTTATGGTCAGAGCCTGTTTGAAGGGGGAGGGTTGAAAGTTTTTCTGATGTTGGGAACAGGAAAGCTTGGAATGCTCCTTTAAAAAAAGTAATTTATATAGTTATTTTATCACCCAGACCAAGTAATTATTTAGAATTTTTTCCCCCGAAGAAATACCTTTTTGTCTCTGGAAAGTACAGATGAGGTAAGATCCACTCCCTCTCTCCTGGCTTTTAGGGAAAAAAAATTAAAATCATGGTTTTGGGACCAGGCCTTCGGGCAGTAGAAGTAAATGTATGCAGCATTTTGGAAAGACAGTGACTGGAACGGCGATTTGATGGACGAGACTGTTTTATTGTTTTAATGATTGTTTTATTGCTCATGGATGTATTTTTTAATTTAATTTATGTCTAATTGTAGTGTATAATTGTAATTGTTTGTGCTGGCATTGAATTTTTGCCATTACTTATGTGTAAACCGCTTTGAGCCCCCCTCGGGGTGAGAAAAGCGGTATACAAATACTGTAAATAAATAAATAAAATAAATACAGTCAGCACTCCACATTTCCAGGATTAATTTTTGTGAATGTCATTATTTGTAGATTTGATTCATATGTTATCGCTAGGATTTTTTAGGTCCTCCAGCATATCTCTAGAGATTCCTAGAAAAATACTGCTATATTCATTTGTAGGTCTTCCAGTGTGATTATGTGGTCAACTTCAGGCAAAGTTGACAACATGACCACAACTGAGGCCACATCCCGATAACTATAAAAGTAACTTAAACTTACTATTACATTATGAAAGGAGTAAAATTATGCTAGGGACATAACTATAATAGTTTTCACAAGTAGTAAAAAAGATTTTGGCTTTGTCCTGTTTTGATATAGGTTAACACCATCTGTGCCATTTACTACTCGGACGCTTGACAAGGAAACCGTTCTTGGAAACTATGCTCTTCCTAAAGGGGTGAGTGTATTATTCACCACTGAAATAAATTATGGATTGTGCTTCCTCACTAGAATATCAGAAATTCTAAGGAAGGAAAATGTGGGTTCACACATTCTGTGTAGCTGGGCTGTCATTCCATTGCTTCATACTTGGTTGACTTTAAGCAGACCTATCATGAGAATTCAGATATATAGAATTCCTACTGTGCAACTGCTTCCAAAAATTCCAGTCTCTGAACATCTTCTCATGACAATACCATGGGAATGGACTCCGAGGTGGACCCTTAGCAAAATGCTATCAGCAAGCATTTGAAGCAAGCATAATATCTGTGGTATATGAGCACCACCAGCTGCTTCTAGCAAGCAAGCACAGCTACAACTTGTATGCATGTGAGCATACTGCATGTGAAATATTGAGGAATCTGTCTTGAGAGAAAAATATGTTAAGCAATTTATGAAATTACTCTTTAGGAGATATCCAAAAGGATGCCAGGCCCATTGCACTGTTTAATATCAGCAAAATACAGATTTTCTAGTCTCAGAAGTGGGTGTCCTGAGGTTTTTGTTAGCTTCTTTGGATCTTTTGGCCTTACAGTCTGGATCAAAAGGAAAGGTGCCTGAGCTATATCTAGTGAAGAAAATATCAATTTTTGGCTTTGCTTTCCTTTCTCATGGCTCCTTTAATGCTAACAGGCAGAAATTCAAGCAGTGCAGCTTTGTCCCGTAAGGGAATGCAGTGAAGAGGAAAATATTTCCAGCTAAATTTCTGGTTGCTGTGCTATTGTTAAGGACACAAGCGCATTACAAGAGATTAGATCAGATCAGATCGGCATTTATGAAGTTCTGTCATTATTTTTTAATTGTATAGAACTAATTGATGGGAGGAAGGGATGTTGCATATAGATATAGGTACAGATTTCTCACATGCTAAAAATGTGAATGCTGACATTGAAAATGGGCACGGGCTAAGGTTCATTGTTGTGCTTGAAAATCAAATCAAACCTCATTTGACGTACATTGCACCTTGTTTATTAGAAAGCTTTCTTGGCCCTTCAAAACATGTTTAAGAAAGAAAATATTTTGGCTTTTCCTTCTCCCAAATGATTCCTGAAAGCAATTTTACTGGCAAGATCAAGCCTGCACCTGCTTTCCCCATTCTCCCCCCTTCCTCTGAAATAAAACCCAACTCAAAACTTGTTTGGGGAGTCTCTGAAAAATGGAATTCTTCTTGGCTCTTACTCATTGCTCTATTCTCTCGCCTCTGAAGCATGACAGGCTTTGTTGCAACATCACAGATCCTTCAGAAAAAAACAGCTTTTCCTTGATCTGAATCCCTTTCTTCCATTAAGCAAAGTACAACCTGCTATTCCTTCTTTATAAATTGCACCTAGTTGACCTCTCTCCTCTCCCTGTGCAATTTTTTATGTTTATAGACAGTGTTGATGATCAACAGCCATGCTCTGGGATGCAATGAAGAATATTTCAGCAACTGGACTCAATTTAAGCCAGAGCGTTGGCTTCAAAAGACCATCAATCCCTTTGCTCATGTTCCATTTGGCATTGGGAAGAGGATGTGTGTTGGACGCCGCTTGGCAGAGCTGCAGCTTCAATTAGCTCTCTGTTGGGTAAGATTGCAGGGACACTTCCTTGGGTTTTGTTTATTAAATGATCATAATCCGTGGTTGGAAAAGGAAACAGATTCCCTATGCGTGTCTGTGTGCATGTCTCCAATTTGCCTTTCGATTGCAGGCAACCTCATGGTATTCATGAAGTTCTCTTAGGCAAGGAATATTCCAAGATCATTTGGCACTGCATTTCTCTGAAATGTGATCTGATATTCAAGTATTAATTAGGTCTGACCTTGCTTGTTTTTAAAATCAGACTGGACCTGGTATCTTCAGGGTAGCCAAACCCTTTTTTAATTGTTTTAAAATGCCACCGAGCAATTGTTTGTGTGCCCAGCTGTGTCTGAAGTTTTGTTTCCTTAGCCTGAGTCAGTTTGGTATAATAATAATAATAATAATAATAATAATAATAATAATAATAATAATCACCACAGGCTGGGTTTCCATTTGAGGAAATGCAAAATAAAAATTTCACCCTAGAAATCTATACGTCCCCCAGCATGACTAGATAAAGTTGACCAAATCATGAATAATCAAATCTGCAAACGTAAAAATTAATTGTGGGGAAAACATTGTGTATCATTGGAAACTGGTATTTTGCTTCCGGTGTACCTTAATCAGAGTTCTGACATTTGAAGGTCTGAATCTAATAAAATGTTGTTAATTTTAATTCTGGTTTTCAGAAGCAAGCCAGCTTCAAACCATGGTCTATAAAACTGCCTTGGTTCCACTAATCATAGTTAGAATTAACCACAGATTATGGAAATGGCACAAAACTGTGGGAAGCTCTTTGCAGTTCCCACATTGCTACATTCCTCCATGTGTGTTTAAACTTTTATTATTTGAAGAAAGAGGATTTTCACCCTGCTGTGCTTTTGCTTAATTGAACTCTCCAGTCATTTGTAAGTGAACATTAGGAAGAAATTCCTGACCATATGAGCTCTTCAGCAGTGGAACTCTCTGCCTCAGAGTGTGGTGGAAGCTCCTTCCTTGGAAGCTTTTAAACAGAGGCTGGATGGCCATCTGTCAGGGGTGATTTGATTTTCCTGTATGGAAGGGGGTTGGACTAGATGGCTCATGCAGTCTCTTCCAACTCTATGATTCTAAGTAGCCAGGCTCACCCTTTGCCCTGAAACTGATTTTGATGCCCAATCCAGTGATTCCAAAGATTGTCCTTGGCTCAAACTAAGCCATGCATGGTTGTTAGTTGGGGCAGTTCAAATGAACTCCTTCTAAGGGAGGCTTATTATGGCAAAATTGTGAGACCCTGTTTTTTAATTTTTAACCTTTGTTTTACAGCTTGTGCGGAAATATCAGATAGTAGCAACAGATGATAAACCAGTAGAAACGCTGCACTTGGGAATCCTTATCCCCAACAGAGAACTTCCTATCGCATTCAGAAAACGTTAAGGTAAAGAGAAGCAAGCTTGTGTGACTACACTGGCTCTAACTCAGCAGTTTGCAATCTATAGATGTCCAGATATGTTTGCACTAAGGTTTCTAGTTTAATGCTAGAAGAATATAAAGACTCATCAGCTTACGTATGTAGATGGTCCAGGAGAGTGAAGGCAGCTGCCAGCTTGGTGTGCTTCTGTACTGTAGAATTAATTCAGTTTGACACCACATTACCATGATTCCTTGGCATTGCCAACCTCAATGCCATGGAATCATGGTAGTTTTATAAAGGTCTTTCACCTCCTCTGCCAAAGTGTGCTGGTGCCTCACCAAACTTCAGAGTAATGGGAGCAGAACAAGGGAGCTCTCCAAGAATTCCCTAGTTAATCAACAGCCATTTTAGTTGAGGTGGACTCAGGCACCTTTGCGCAGCCTGGGAAAACCACTTTTCAAGGAGATACTAGATAATACCACTAGAAATACTAATTAAGTTAGTATTATTCACAAATTGGATTAGAGCTGGATTTCGGTTTTGGGTTTTGAGCAATGTAATGATATAGTGTAACTTGCCAAGTTATCATGAGCACTTAGCTGTGGAAAATGCTGTTAGTTTGGGTTTGAAGTAAAGTAGATTTGGGTGGGCTACTATCATGGTACTTTTTAGATTGACTGAGTGTTTGAGGGCTGCACATTTTTGGTGTGGTATCTTATGAGTTGAATGAAATGGATGACTTGGATGAACCATTTTTATGTCGGTATCTTTGGAATTTACTGAAAAGTTGTAACTTTAGCCCTTGTTCATTTAAAAGAGGACTATTCCTCTGTATATTTAAATGGTGGCAGCCCACTCGAGTCTTACCGTCTGTAGGGGAAGGCTTTCTGTTGTATTTTAATCTTTGTTTTAATATGTGTATTTCATAGAAATATGTTTCAAAATATGCATTTTATTGAATTGTTTTTTTATGATGATATATTTTAACTGTGCTGTACCCCCTCTCAAGCCATGAGGAGAGTTGGGTACTACTACAACTACTACTACTACTACTACTACTAATAATAATAATAATAATAATAACCAGCATAAGTCACCAAAGAATTTCAGCCTTCTGCTGCATTAGTGTAATGCCAGTGGTGAGGAAGCTCTCTCATACACATGTGCAAACACGCATCTGCATTTTTTGCATCACCTTTCTGTCAGAAAAAGGTCCATTAAAATACTTTAATCAATAAATCTATTGTATACATAGTCACTGCAATGTTTTCAGAACTGTAGAATGAATAAATGCTCTCTTTTTCCCTTCCAGATACTTTGGAAGAAAACAGTAGACTGCTGACTGCTGCTTTTTCTGCAGACAATATTCTTGATGTCTGGAATCCTAACTATCAATGACCAGGCAGCATGTGTGCTGATGCCAAGGAGAAAACAATGGCCATCCAAAGCTAGCTTTGACCTTGCTTAAGGAGCAAATCTATCAAACTGTGGTTAGCACACTCTAAAAGCTATAATGAAAGCAAAAACAGACCCTGCCTTTGTTATAGAGGCCAGGGGTGGAAGGGAGACAGAGCTGAACAGATTGGCAGAGGGCAATAGATCTTTTCATGCAGCCTTGGCAAAAATCCATTGCTGCTTACCTGCCAATATGTGAAATCAACACCCATCCTGTTAATGTTTCTGGGATCTGCTGGTCAAGAATGGGTGGGACTTGCAGGTTCAGCATTACAATGCAGGGCAAAGAAAGTTGGTTCAACTCTTCCCAAATGCTCAAGTTTTCAAAGGAGCATTTAATGCAGCTGCAAGGCTAGTTTGGGATGCGGAAAAGAAAATCATGGAGCCAAGAAACATTCCAAGAGGGTACCGAATTTATGTTTCCACAAGGGGAAACAACAAGAAGTGTGATGAATATACTAATAGCTGCAATAACATCAACACTTTTACCACTTTATAATGCTGTTCAAAATGCAAAAGGTTATCTTATCTGCCTTGATGTTGCAAACATGGAGTGGATGATCCCATCTTACCATGTTGGTATTTCCCCCCAGCTATGTGTATGTGCAGGCTGTCATTGCAGGTGTCACTGCTTGGAAAAGTTGGATTTTGATGTACAGCCCTAGAATTCTCCAGTCAGCATGGCCAATAGTTGGGAAATCTTGCTGTCATCCAAAAAGTAACTTTTCCAAGCTTCATAACTACTTATGCTTCCAGTGGCATTATCTAGCTCTTTCTTTCTGTCTAATGCTCTGGATAAGTGGATAGAAAAATGTTGTTGTGCACAGCCTTATGGAATAATTCTGTGTTTTAAATGCCCAAACCAGCTTGGGTATTTGTGTGGATTGTTCAGAAAGAATTTTTAATGCAGCACCATCAAGTTTGCACAATCAAATTAAGCCATGTATGTGTAGAAGCCTCATAAGGCTTGTGTTTTTGCTAAAGGTGTGGCAATATCCCCCCCCCCCAAACAAACAAAAAGAAATTGTGTTATAAAACACCCAAATAAATAGCAGCTGTTGGAGATGGGATGTAGGCATGTACTTCAGAAGGAAATCGAAATGTGTGCAAGCTTGTTTTCTAGATCTGTGTAGCTGATAAGATATTACAAAAAGCTGGCTGGGTGGCTAGGGGAGGAAAGCAGTCTGTTATTGAAATCATGAAGTTTGTATGACATCCTGAGATTGAACAGAGAAAGAAGAATTTGCAAACATTCAGTTAAGGGTCTCTGTTATATAATCTGAGTTTTTGCCTGAAATACACCAGAAACAAAAACAGAAAGGTTTTATCCTTCAGTTGTTCAAAAAGTAGGGACACAGGGAATTTTCTCTAACACTTTCTGTTTATTTCCTTCCTGGAATTTAACATTTCAAAATGGCTGCATGTACTTTTTGTGTATAATTATTTTGTGAACTGTGATACCTGAGTAGTATCAGAGATGTAGTCCAAAAAGTAGCCTTTTCCAAGATCTGAAGCAGGCAGCCCAATTTTCACTTATGGATTTCACTGTATCAAGAGATGGCAATAGTCTCAAATTTTACTTCTTTCAACAAGGATTGGGGGTGAAAACATTGTTATGACTATGCAATGATCAGGTTCAAAATGAGTTTACCTCTGAATAATCCATTCTTGTGAGCCGAAAAGAGAGGGAGGGGATGTTTCATGTCCAGCTTAGCCATTCTGAAGACAATGAATGGCATATTAAACATCTGTTGGTCTGATCCAGTTCACCTCCTCTTATGTTCATGCCTTCAACTTGATGGATCATAGTTGCAGAGGTCACACTTTAACATCATGGTATGCAGGAAAAAAGGGCTTAGGACCCCGATGTGTTGCTAGACTTCAGCTGTAAGAGGGCCTGTCCAGTACAACCAATTGGATAAAATTATGGTCATTGAAGTCCAAAACATTGAAAGTCAAAAGTTTCCTTATCATGAGCTGAAATATGAGTAATATAGTTCATCAGTATTTTCTCCCATTCTTTTCTAGTTTCTTTTGCAGTTTTGTATTCCTTTTTGCACCTGTAAATAATAGTTTTAAATATTTTTAATATATTTAGAGAACTGTTAACATTTTATGATCCTCTATGTAGGACTGCATATTTTTAAAAGAAACATGTTTGATTTTTAAATTGTTGATAATGAAATGCACCAATGATTGTTTTGTAATTAAAAAAGCAATTTCTAATATTATGGCTCAGCTGTTTATTCAATACATCTGTGTCCAATATCGTCTTTTAAATTACCCTACTTCTTAAAAAAAAGATTCTAAATGAGCTGCTCATTAAATTTGATACCAAAGTAGCAAGAAAGAGGAGGAAAGCCATTTCCCATGTTTAACCCACCTCTCTTTTTTCAGTTGCACTCCACAAAGATATGTATTTTACAACCCCCCTCGGGGGTTGAGAAGGGCGGGGTAGAAGTGTGAGAAATAAATAAATTAAAGCAAGGTTATTGTTTGTTTTCAGCTTGCTTGAGAGGCTAGTCTGCTTATGAATGTAGCTGTATGAAACTCCAAGCAAAAAAGAGTGAAGAGAAATGTGCAGAATCACTGAATGGAGTTTGGAAATAGATTACAATGAGCTATGGACTCCTTCCACATAGAGGTTGTGATTCATGCAGTAGCTGTTGTCTCCTATGATTCAATCATCAAAATGTTCCTCTGGCCACATTAGTCTAATGTTTTTGTTGTGTGCCATTAAGTTGTTTCTGACTGATAGTGAACCTAAGGTGAACCCATCACAGCGTTTTCTTGGAAAGGATTGTTGGCTTTTGCTTTTCTCTGAAGTTGACAGAATGTGATTTGCCCATGATCATTCAATTGATTTCATGGATGAGCAGGGATTTGAACCCTAGTCTTGAGTCATAGTCCAATGTTCACACCCCTATACCATACTGGTTCTCTGGTTCAACACATTATGAACTATACCATTCAATGATATATGGTGCATGGATTGAGAGAGTTCTTTTATAAATTTTTATAACTCCCAGAATCTCTCTTAACAAGGCTACAACCAAGCCTTTATCACACACATGCACTATTCCACTGGAGCTGCATGATCATTGGTAGTGTATACATACCACATTGAGTACCTTTGATATTGCAACTGTCTTCCTTAGTGCATTTATGCTGATTCACCAGATCATGGTCCCACAATCCTCACAACCTTGTCTTCCTGGACTACCATTGCTCCTCTTTTTTTTCGATTTTTAGTGCAATTGTGCAATACCAACATTTAAAGAAAGTGTTGATATAGTATTAAACAAAAGGCAATCAGCTAGTTTGGGAATAGCAAATGGGAAAAGGGGGAGAAGAGGGGAATCCTGCTCCCTGGTGTCAGTTTACTGCCAGCATGCCAGCACAGAAGGAAACCATTGCACTAAGATAGGTGACAGGAACATCACAGGATTGGGAGGTATTGACATGTTTTACCTGTAAATAGGTAGGAATGGGGAATCATGGGGGTGAGGAAAACGAGCCGTAGGATGCAAATGTCTTTGTAAGGAAGTGACAGTCCAGCTGGAATGTGATATTGCCTGCCTCATGCAATGAAGTCTTAAGGCATGTTATCCACTCTTAGAATTCCTGAAATACATATTCTAGTACTCAGGTATATGCATGCCTTATCTTCTGAGACTAATAACTGTCATTAATTATAAAAGTGTGGTAGGTTTGTTTGGCACAAAAGCCAAGTTGGTGATGTAAAAGGCAACTAAACGCTTGTAAAAACAATGTCTACATTTAAATACTGTCTGCTCTCCAATGTTGCCCTCAGATGAGATGTTGAAAAATTCACAGTGACTCTATGAAATCTATGAATGTGGTTTGGGAAAGAAGTCGTCCAGGAATACCTGGCCGCTCTTAATGAGTTCAAGTCCCCAGGGCCAGATCAACTACACCCCAGAGTATTGAAGGAACTAGCGGAAGTCATTTCGGAACCATTGGCAACCATCTTTGAGAGTTCTTGGAGAACGGGAGAAGTTCCAGCAGATTGGAGGAGGGCCAATGTGGTCCCAATCTTCAAGAAGGGAAAAAAGGATGACCCAAACAACTACCGTCCGGTCAGCCTCACGTCGATGGCAAGATTCTGGAAAAGATTGTTAAGGAAGCGGTCTGCAAACACTTAGAAACAAATGCAGTCATCGCTAATAGTCAACATGGATTTATCAAAAACAAGTCATGCCAGACTAATCTGATCTCTTTTTTCGATAGAGTTACAAGCTGGGTAGATGCGGGGAATGCCATGGATGTAGCATACCTGGATTTCAGTAAGGCCTTCGACAAGGTCCCCCATGACCTTCTGGCAAGGAAACTAGTCCAATGTGGGCTAGGCAAAACTACGGTGAGGTGGATCTGTAATTGGTTAAATGGACGAACACAGAGGGTGCTCACCAATGCTTCCTCTTCATCTTGGAAAGAAGTGACAAGTGGAGTGCCGCAGGGTTCCGTCCTGGGCCCGGTCCTGTTCAACATCTTTATTAATGACTTAGATGAAGGGCTAGAAGGCATGATCATCAAGTTTGCAGACGACACCAAATTGGGAGGGAGAGCCAATACTCCAGAGGACAGGAGCAGAATTCAAAACGATCTTGACAGATTAGAGAGATGGGCCAAAACTAACAAAATGAAGTTCAACAGTGACAAATGCAAGATACTCCACTTTGGCAGAAAAAATGAAATGCAAAGATACAGAATGGGGGACGCCTGGCTCGAGATCAGTACGTGTGAAAAAGATCTTGGAGTCCTCGTGGACAACAAGTTAAACATGAGCCAACAATGTGATGTGGTGGCAAAAAAAGCCAATGGGATTTTGGCCTGCATCAATAGGAGCATAGTGTCTAGATCTAGGGAAGTCATGCTACCCCTCTATTCCGCTTTGGTTAGACCACATCTGGAATATTGTGTCCAATTCTGGGCACCACAATTCAAGAGAGATATTGACAAGCTGGAATGTGTCCAGAGGAGGGCGACTAAAATGATCAAGGGTCTGGAGAACAAGCCCTATGAGGAGCGGCTTAGGGAACTGGGCATGTTTAGCCTGAAGAAGAGAAGGCTGAGAGGAGATATGATAGCCATGTATAAATATGTGAGGAAGCCACAGGGAAGAGGGAGCAAGCTTGTTTTCTGCTTCCTTGGAGACTAGAACGCGGAACAATGGCTTCAAACTACAAGAGAGGAGATTCCATCTGAACATTAGGAAGAACTTCCTGACTGTGAGAGCCGTTCCGCAGTGGAACTCTCTGCCCCGGAGTGTGGTGGAGGCTCCTTCTTTGGAAGCTTTTAAGCAGAGGCTGGATGGCCATCTGTCAGGGGTGATTTGAATGCAATATTCCTGCTTCTTGGCAGGGGGTTGGACTGGATGGCCCATGAGGTCTCTTCCAACTCTTTGATTCTATGATTCTATGATTCTTAATTCGGGGGGGGGGGGGGATACTTCTAGATGTACTTTGGGTTTTTTTAAAAAGTTTCTTAATAATATTTGTATTTTCTTCAAATGATCCTCCCTTGTTTACTTTCAATTGAAATGTGTTCAAAAACAGAATACTTAGAATATTTTCACAGAAATCTGAAACAGAATATACCACAAGGGCCATCAAATCTAACCTGCAGCCATACAGGAATATACAAGTAAAGGACTCATCATCTTTCATCTAATCTTACTTTTTCAACAGACCATGGCAGGATGGGGAAAGGGATTAGCTTGGGTATAGCTAAACATAAAGGGTTTTCCCCTGACATTAAGTCCAGTTGTGTCCAACTCTGGGGGTTGGTGCTCATCTTCATTTCTAAGCCGAAGAGCCGGCGTTGTCCATACATCACCTCCTAGGTCATGTGGCCAATATGACTGCATGGAGTGCCGTTACCTTCCTGCTGGAGTGGTACTTATTGATCTACTCACATTTGCATGTTTTTGAACTGCTAGTTTGGCAGAAACTGAGCCTAACAGCAGGAGCTCACACCG